CCTGGGAATCCTGCTGGTCCAGCTGGCCCAGTGAATCCATTTCGTCCTCTCTTACCACGGCCTCCCTTGAACACAAAATTCTTTAAGGAGGAACACACGGTGATGGAAAGGCCCTGCTTCCCCCCAGCTAGCCAGAAAGCAGGAGTCTGTGCCCATATGTGATCTCTGGACTGGCAGAAAACAGGAGGAATAACTTATAAAAATGCTGCAATATCAGATACAGCAAGCTCTGGGATGCAGCCACTGGGATGCTCCCCCTGTGGACCTTTTCCTCATTGAGGATGGGGTGCAAAATATGGCTCTATTTTGCCTGTGTAAAGGATACAACCACTGCCCTTATCCACTCTCTCAGGGCAGAAAAGCAGCTGAACTGAGAGGAGACTGCAGCTACATCAGAGGGGTAGCCTTGGCTTTTGCTGCCATTAATGCTCCGAATGTCTTGCAGAACCCCAGCGAGCGAGTGTGGCTTTAAGCCTCTCTTCAGGCCCCTGCTATCACAGACTCTCAGCGAGACCCTGAGTTTGTACATGTTGCAGTCCCATAGTGAGAATCATCCACTGCTCCCTCTGTCCCCAGGACCAAACGACCACAAAGCCTCTATCCTTGCTAACACCTCTTTGCTTCCTAGTCATCTCATCGAGTCACATAATTAAGCTGAAATGGAGAACAACTGGTCCCCACCTTGCCTGGCTCTCCTCAGCTTCTTTTCTGAACTCGAAGAAGCCCCCATACACCAAACCTTGCCTGTTTTTTCCCCAACTATATCAGCTGGTCTAATAAATGCTGTTACCTCTCCTTTTGCAACAGGCTTTGTACTTGTTTCCCTTCACTGACCGTATATGCGCCCAGAGTCTAGAGACCTAGATAAGTGATGGCTTGAACCGCAGAAGACACCCGTCGTAGACAGTGTCAGTAGTACGGTCGTCGCTCTTGCCCTGAGGTGGTTAACATGACGCAGCACAGTCTCCTCTCACCTCACTCCACTTACCTTCTGTCCTGGCACCCCAGGCAGACCGGGAGTTCCTCTCTCTCCCCGTGATCCGGGAATGCCGGTGTTGCCACGAATGCCCTGGATGCCCTGTGCTCCTGGAGGCCCTGGGGCTCCTGGTTCACCCTGTTGCCAAGAAATCACATGAATCGTCCGTGAAAACACTGGATCCTCCATCCTTGTTCTGCCTTGATTCAAGTTTCCTCCACGCAGGGGTTCATAGGTCGGCCCACTCAGCAGGTCTAAGTCAGGAACGTACTTGCTGTAACCTCACCTCATATTCATCCTGTATCTTCTGTACAGGGGAGAGAGCAGCGACTCTGGGGGGCAGTTTAGATCTTAGGTGGCATTAACTGCTCCCAGAAGGTGCCATTGGTCCTGGAGGAAGCCTGCGGTGTCTCTGTGCACAGAAGTGGAGCCACCCCTTCCTGCCCAGCCCCAAAGCAGGGATCCCAGAGCCAGAGAAGAAGGGGGCTGTACCATTCCTTGCTAAGTGGGGATGCCTTACGTGCAGATCCGCAGAGCTCTGCAGTGAATTCAAAAACCTGCTTGCCTGCAATGTCCCAAGAGCTCTCACAAATACACCTCTACCGAGATCACAATTCCCCTGTTTTTCTCAACACCAGTGTTTATCCTCTGGGCCCAAAGGAAACATCTGCTCTAAAATGGCCCCTTGCAGGACACAGAGCACTTCCTCTGTCCCAGACCCATGTGATTTGGCAGGTGATGGTGTTCCTGCTTTCCCAGGTTGGGACTGACTTTGGCGAATTACCTTTGCAGGCCCAGTCAAGTCTGCGCTCCCTCCCACCCAGTGGTGGAAGGATCAGCAAGGATTACAAAGACCCAGAAAAACTAAACAAGAAGCCATCTAAACAAGAAGAAAGGCTTACCTTGTATCCAGGGGGCCCAACCTGACCAATGGGGCCTCTGAACCCAGTTCCTGGTTCTCCCTGTGAAGAAAAGATGAAGGAAAAGCAAGCCTACTCCTTCTGCCATGGACCCATCAAAGTCGGTGTTTGCTTCATGCTGCTCGTTAAACATCCAGCTGAACTCCCTCGGAGCTGATCATACACTGAGGGTATCTACAGAACCGTCACTGACCATCACATCTCCTCTAGATAGTGGGAAGTTTTATCTGTCCTGTTCCTGGAGAAGCAAATCTACCGAGAGCATTTAAACTGCTTTAGACAAGAAGTAGCAGCTGAGTCGCCGGAATATTACAGAATATAGTGTCAGAGGACTCCGTGTGAGACTCCTATCTCCCAACATTACTCATTATAAGGCAAGTGTCTTGTCCATGTGAGTCATGTGGCGTCTGTCTCTAATCAACAGAGACTCTGACTGCCCCAGCAAGTGACCGGTCCCAGCCACGCGCTGAGCCCACATCTCAGCATGAAAGGAGGTTACCTGGAAAGCTCAGCGAGATGGTTAAGTTAGATACAGAAAAAGGAGAAAAGCCATGGAGAGAGAGCAGAAGACAAGTTCTCACAGTATAAGAAGAGACAGCTCTGATTGTGGGACTGAAGTTTTTCTTTACCTTCTGACCATTTTCACCTCTGTCTCCTTTGGTTCCCTATGAAATGAAAAGAGAGATACCAAGCCTGTGATTCCTCCTGGGAGAAGAGACCATGTGAAGAATAACCTCAATGCAACCCTCAGCATGAACAAAGACTTCTTGTCATGATCATAGCGTAGGGCAGAGTGGGGCAACTGGCAGCTCAGGGATGCCTCTGACCTCCGTCTCTCGCCGCCTCCGCAGAGGAGGTGAGCAACAGCTGTGTGACCAGGGAAGAGCCAAATGCCCTAACGCAGAGCCACATTGCTCCTGTGAAGGAGACAGGGCTGACGCAGATGGTGGATAGGGTCCAAATTGGGAGGGAAGGGGTTAGGGTTTCACTTTTCTATAGCAATCACAAATACTGGATTTGGGCCGCTTAGCTTGTAACACCATCCTGCTCTACCTGCCGACCCTGACTCCACAGCTCACCTTTTCTCCAGGTTCTCCCCTCTCCCCGGGCTGCCCCTGCAAGACAAAAACATCCCATCTTCCAGCCACCTCTCCTCCCTCCCCTCTCCCATTCCTTCTCACATGCATGTGTCCTCAGGATGCTGCAGTACACAGTCATTTAAATGTAGGGTAACCCATGCAAACTATTCCCTCCCTGCTGGGCCGTGCCTTATCTGCCTTTCTCCTGTAACTGCAGACTACCCTTTTTCTTACCAGTGTCCCAGAACCCTCGCTCTGCAAGCCCAGTCTACATTAGCACAGTCTCCCATGGACCTGTTTCCTGAATGTCCATGCCATCAGCCTGTCCTCAGCTGTTTCTCCTCTTCCAGACCCTCTTAGCACTGATCCATAGTCTGAAATACCTTGTGTCAATGATCCACCTGTCTCATATTTGCATATATGCATGCTCCCCTCCCTTTCTTGTAGCCTTCAGAGCCCAACCACTGCAGGAGGAACGTGACAGTGAGGGTAACGAGTTGCCCTTTCATCGCGTCACCCTCCAACCCTGATAACGGTGCTGTCAGAAATGGTTTACGCGGGAGTGGAACTTGCAGGCTGCCTCTCTCCAGCTTCTCAGCAATTCCCATTTCACCTTTCCTGACTTGGCACCAGCAGGTGCTTGTGCAAGTAACTCATTGCCTGCGTGTGTAATTGCCTGGCAACGCAGCAGCCTTCTCCAGGAATCAGCGGCTCAGGCCAGAAAAGCAGTGCTCATGCAGTGATTGTCCAAACCCACTGTAGCACACGGAGCGATAGCTACCTTTTCTCCTTTGTCTCCACGGGCTCCTGGAGCTCCCATATCTCCCTGGAAAACATCAGGCAACCCTTCAGTTGCAGATTTATAGGGGATGCTATGAGGAATTACCCCCGCCCTCTCAGGATCCGGCTGGTGCTGCTCTCATTCCTACATCACCTTTTGGCAAACATCTGTCTGCGGAGGGCCCTCTCCATCACAGACCAGATCAGGGCTGTACTTGACCTTGTCCCTCTTACCCTAAACAGTGGAAACGTGCAGACAGAAAACCTAAATTGCGGAGTAAGGATCAGATATGAACGATAAGCTGAGGGGTCCTTGTCCCAGGACACTGCAGATGCTAAAAAATAACGTGAGTTTGAGGGAGACTGGAGAAGTTCACAGAGAAGAAATCTATTGAGGATCCCCAAAAGACAGAAACCCTGTCGAGCTCAATTGTGAAAGCTTCGAGCTTAGGATCGCTTCTGGTTACTGCTCACCAAACGGTCATGGCGGTTGATTACCACCTTTTCCATCCACAGGCCCAGCAATTTTCACTCTTTATTCCTGAGCTTCCACGTGGGATTGCCCTGGGAGGTGGATCAAAAGCCTAACTCCTCCCAATGCCGTTGTGAGAGCTGGTAAGGGAGGCTGGACAGATGTGTTTTAAGCACATTTCCCACGGTGCAAGCACAGATTTTGCAAGGTGAGAGATAATCAAGAGCAAGAAAAGCGGGCACCTCCTTTGCTCCACTGTTTAGAACTTGCCGTGTTTAAGACAGTGAGGTCTGGGTCTGAGTAAGTGAGATTTGCATTTTGGCAAAGCGTTTCCACCTCCACTTCTGATGTTTAAATTCTCTTTCTTGTACATCTGTACTGAAAGCTTATACAAACACACTGACCTTTTGGCTGCGGGACGGTAGATCCACTGGGCCTGTTTCCTGCTTCTGTAAGAAAAAAAAAATGCACATACAGAATCCAACTGGGATGCTGAGCAACAGCAGAAACGCTCAGCTGCATCCTAAGCGCGCATGGCTGCAGCGAGAGGAGCTCTGTGACAGGTACCTTAATCCTCCTCGAGTGCTGAGGGCCGGGGTATGTCTTGAATTGGAAAAAAGAGGAAGGTGTGAGAACGACTGAAGAAATGTTTCGTCCCTGAGCCACAGAAAAGGTCTCTCTCTGAGCAGTGGGATGTTGCACAGCAAGTCACTACATCGCGAGCAATGACCCAGCACCCGCTTTAATTCGGACCCTCTGCGGATGGCTACAAGAAGAGAAGGTGCGTTTTCTCATGCCATATACAAATTCACCTAAGCGCTGCCATCCTTGCTGTCCATCAGGACCTTCCTTATGGCCAAATGCAGGGGTAGGGCCACATACCGGTTTAGAAGAAATTCATTCAAACTTAGAAGAAATCTGCTGTGCAGAATTTCTCATTTGTAACTCGTGGAAATCGGTATTTCTGTCTTACATTTTGCAAAATCAACTCTTTGCACAGTCCATTTCTGGGAAATTGTGTTAAAGCAGGCAATACAATTGTGCAGGCAGGTAAGACATGTTTGTGTTTATAATCTCATGCACAATATATATCTGTAAACATAGGCACACACATACAAATATATTCTATATTCTTAGGAAGATAACCTTCAGTTGTGCTGCTTTCTCCATGAATGAGTTTACGACGTGCCCTCATTGATTAAGTTTGATTTTCCCCACTTCTGTTTTCTAAGTAGCATGTGTTTCCCTTGTCAAACACAGGGAGAACAATCTGCTCTGCCAAGAAATACGGCTTTGTCTGCAGCTGCTTCTTGCTTTATTTATTAATATTTACCACTAACCTTTTACCCCTCCCCACTAGATTCATCATGGCTTTGAACAAGAGAGAAGCAGCAAGTGCCTCCCTTGCATCCATGTGCCTGAAGACCCCTTTGATGTACAGTCTTCACTCACCGCGTGTCCAGATGGGGGTTTTTGACCTCCTGGCGCACCAGGGGAGCGAACCTGTGACAGAGCCAACAAGGACCAATCACCGCTCCCTTCTGGATCACACCGATTGCTCTGCTCTTGCACAGACCAGACTCAGGCCGCAGTGGGGAGAGGGGTCTTTACCATGTGCCTGTCATGCCCAGCAGATCTCCTTGCTCTAACGCGCGTCGGTAATGCAGAGCCATCGTTGCCAGAATTTGCATTTTCCTGCGTGAAAGGGAAGTAGCATCCATCTGAGCCCCTAGTATTATTATTTCTTTAGCACCACGCAATTAATATCTTCCTATTGCAAAGAAATAAGAAACACCTAAAATGTTGCAATTTTGAATTTTAGATGCACCCCTGAACCCTTGTGGCACGTTCAGCTGGATGACAACTGTGCTGGCACACATATGAGCTACCACCCCAAATGTGCAGCAGCCACGTCCGGGTAATACTCTTGGGATGAGTTTAATGCACCCAGTGTATCTGATCCTAATCACTCATCTATTAATGACTGATCACTCTATAGGCTAATCTGCCACTCGCTGATGTGTGCAGTATTCTTATTTTTGGGAAATATATATTTGAGGTACACGTAGTAAAGCTTGTACGAACAACTACTGGTCTGGATAATAAATTGCTTGTCCTTTTCCATGTTAGCCACAGTGAATTATCTGCTTGCTCTGGTAAAAATGCTAATATTCCTAGCTACTGACTATTAACAAGATATCTCAGTATACAGCAATTATTCCCTGAGCCGCACAGTGGAGGCACTGCAGCATAGCTTTCGGGAACACTTTAAGAGGAAAGCAAAAAAACAGTGGAGTGATTTATCACAAAAGCAAGCTGGGCAGCTGCTTGCACCCAAACCTCAGCTGGAGATCTGCCAGGAGCAGACTTACAAGCACATGAAAGACAGGAACAAAACAGAAAGGGGTGCAATTATTTAGCACTATTCCCACATTTTTTAGCAGAAACAAAGACCTAAATTCATCTCAATTTTATCTAGAAGTATAGGTCAAGTTATTTAGCTGGCTAAAGTTAGTTTAGATGGTTAAAAATCCTAAGTGAAGTGCTTTCCAGAAATGCTGGTTAGTCCAGGCCTCGGTGTTAGGCTGGCAGGTTTGCAGGGATGATGGGGTGCTCAAGAAATCCAAGTTTCAGACTAAACTCTGCCTGAACCTAGGAATGGTGGAAGCTGCCTTCACCCAGGAGGCATTTCCCAGTATATCCTGGGACCAAGGGTTTTGGAGGCTGCTGGTCCCTGGTCCTCGACCAGTCTCTTGGTGAACCTGCCTGCGAGCAAGGACTAAGGGGAGTCCTGTTTCGGTCCTGTTTAACTAGCTGGATGATAGTTTCACCTAGTGCTTAATGAACCCAGGAAGTTTCTGACTCACTGAAATGTCTGAGGGAAAAAATAATTGATTTTGATCCAAATAAAATTGAAATTCCTCATGAAACACGGCAAGGAGAGGGAGAGGAGGAATGAAAGCAAGACCAAAGAAGTGCTGGCACAGATCGCTCAGGGAAGCTGTGAAGTGCCCATCTTGGGCGGTTTTTGTGGACAGGCTGGGGAAACAGCTCTCGAGTTTAGGTAGAGATGCTTTGGGTAGGTTGGGTGACACCATGCGACCTTTTGTAGGTGCCTGCGTGCAGAAGGGGTCCGGTCCTTCTCTGTCCTGCGCTGGATCGCAGCTTATCTGCATGCGGACTAGGCACGCTTTGCACAGGCAGCATTTGCTGTATGATTTGCACGTGCGCAAACACCTCGACAAGGAGAAGGCAGCGGCGAGGCAAGCCCACAGGTTGCCAAGACCTCTCTGAGGTTCTGAATGGTGACCATACCCGTTGGATCTCACAAAGCTCCCATTAACTGGGGGCGTGGGAAATTGCAGGGGGTAATAACTCTCCTTCACTCTGCAATTCCTCCGCAATTTCAGCAGTTTCCTGCTCCGAGGTGCCAGCGATGAGGCACCTTAAAAAAAGTAGAGAAGCTGCTGCTTTCTAAAGCAACGATTTACTGATAGCAGGTGGCAGTGTAAAGGGAAAGAAAAGGGAGACAGAAAAGGAGAAGGAAAAGAATGGATAAGATTAGGAAAGGAAAGAGAAAAATGGAAATAAAAGGAGAAGTAAGAAGTAGCCCTGCAAAGAAAGAGATGCAGGAAAGAGAAAATCAGAAAAGGCCAAGTAGAAATCAAGTAGACACATTAAGTAACAAGGGGATCACACACACAGACACAACCAGGAGGTTTGTCTGAATTCACTGTGAAAATGACTAAGTTCAGCTCTGTTAAACCTCTCTGGAAAAACTAACTCAGGGTAAAGATAGGCTCAAATAATTTTTTTTCTTCCAAAATGTCCCGCAGACTGCGAGGAAGAGGAGGGGAAAAGGGGGCCAGAAGGGGGTCTGAAAGCTCAGGAAAATCAATCCAAACGAGCTTTAGATATGAACTTACAGTGAATTCGTTGAAATGGCTTGAAGGGCCGTATCAGCTGGAACTCAAGCAGCCCTAACGTGAATCGAGATGCCCGGGAGCAAGGCTGGGGCAGGCGGAAGAGCCTTGCAATTTTATGCCTTGGGCTGCTGGGTCACTGGGGAAGGGGCAGAGATGCCAGAGGCTGGAGATGGAAGAGGTAGGAGCCGGCCGGATAGGTCTGTAACACCAAGGAATTGGCTTATCCGAGGAGAGAGCAACCGGCTGCTGCTTCTTACCCAGGTGCTTGTGCCACGGTCCTTCTCACTGTCTCTATCATTTAATCTGCTTCCCCCATTAACAACTACCAGGCAGAAATTACATTTCTGAGAGGCTGCCTCTCCCCAGGGCCCTGTGGACCTTTTAACAGGTAAAACTCCTGATTGCAGCTGCTGCTAATGGGGAAACAACTGACTCTATTTTCTCCCCTTGTATCGCTCCCCTGATGAGCTCCGTTAGGATATCGCGGCCACAATGCATTTGTGCAGCAAGGAGAGAGGAGGCTGCTCCAGTTTCTCTGCCGTTGGGTCACACGTTTTCCTCCTCCTAAGGATAAAGAGGATTTTGCCCCAAACGCAACAGAGAGAAATGCCCTCGAGTGTAGGTCACATCATGCTGGGGGGTGGATAGGGGTTTAAAGGACTCTGGTGCCTTGGAGGCCCTTAAAAACTCCTGGCAACTGTTTGGCTTTTGCAAATGATACTGCCTCTACCAGAACGAGGATCTCTGAACACGAGAGCAGCAAGAATAGCGCCTAGCTGCCCACCTTTTCAATGACTCCTCCCTTGATGGAGAATCCGGTAATTGTGGCCAACCAACTAAATATACTGTCACTGTCAGATGGCAGCGATAAAGCATGCGCTATTCTATAGGGCCTTGGAAAACCAGCCCAAAAGGACAAGAGATCACCTCCTATAAAACCAAAGCGCAAAACTTTGCCCCAGTTCCCTGTACGCTGGTTCTGATAACTCAGGCATCAGCAGATAGAGAGACAGATAGAGACAGATAGAGAGACATTCTCATCCCAGCTTTGTACAGCCTGCTCCCATGGTTAATCAGAGTGATCTCTAATTTCTCATTTGAATTGTAAGCCTTCAATTTCCATCCTCTAGCTCTCATTCTTCCTTTCATTGTAAGATTAAGGAGCCCTTTAACATTCTGCATTTCCTCCCTGAGAAAAGCTCTTCTGTGCAGAAATCAAGGCCTCTCGGTCATCCTTTAGTTCTGCTAAAAAGCCTGTGATTTTAGATCTTACATGATAAATGAGTCTGCATCCACCTACAAATCGATGCCGTGGCTCTGCTCTGCACCTTCCTCATCCTTAAAAAAAAAGTAGCCTCCCAAACAGGACACAGAAGTCTCCTTTTCATCTCTTCCCATTAAGGAGGGAGATGCTGTGTCTGTTAAGGGATCTGATTTATTAAATCATTCTATGTAGGGGCCCATGTGAAGCCCCTACATGTGAGGAGTCTGTTTTGGGAGGAAGAACTTGCATGGCTATGGCCCACAGTTTCGGATGGAGCCACAGATTCAGGACACCCAATTTCATGGCCTCCAGATGCAGCTCCCTAGAGACTGAGCTTTCGAGAGTGGGGCACCAAGAAGTTCTCCCCAGCAGGGCAGTCCTCAGCCAGGATCCTGCAGCCAAATCCCATGCGAAGTGAAGGGCTTTGGGCTCCATCCTGTCTGCTTCCAAAGAGAAAGCCCTCGCCACCTTAAACATGCCTGGCAAATGGAAACCATGCGTCTGGGAAGAGAAAATGCAGAAGGTCAGCTGGAAGCAGCTGGAGGCTCTGAGCTTGCAGGTCCCTGGACTGCGGTAGCATCTGATGGATGCTCAGTTCACAAGCCATCATCTCTAGAGCTTCAGTTTACATACGTACACACGTGTGTGTACATGGACGTGTAATGTGTGTGTGTGAGCGCGCGCGCGTGTGTGTGTGTGCTGGGAGCCCTCTTGCGGCTGCTGCAGCAAAGGTTGTTCCAGCTTCTCTCCACAATTCAAGGTGGTTTGAATTTGCAGGGAGCCAGACAGGAGACTGCTCAAGTGATGGTAGCAGAAGCAAGTTTTCAGCAGGCTACTCAAACCCAAATGAGATTTCTTCTCAACAGGTTTTCCTGCTGTGAGCTACCCTTCCTATTGCTGTTCCTAGCAATATCCTTACTAATACCGTTCCTAGCAGCGCCTGTGCCTGTAACTGCAAGCAAACATCCAAGGGATTTTTCTGCTCAAAAATAATATTCCCTCCTTCATACAGAAGCACATCAGTACATGAATGTGTGAAAAAAGCACTGGATAAACGCATTTGCCATCTCTCCATCACGCTGAGTGCATTGGCTTGTTAGGGTAGGGTCTGCCAGATGGGTTTAACTGTGCTTTCAGGGTTACAATGCAGCAAAAGTTGGAGGGTCCTGGGCTTGGTACACCACGGTGGAGTGCGTTTTGGGCTCTCAGCATGCACAGAAGGGCAGACAAATGAGTGAAACAGGATGTTAGGACTCAGGCAACCAAATCACAGTAACACCCCAAGTTATTGCCCATCAGCTGAGCTGTGGTAACTGCTGCTACCAGCCTGGGTGCACCCTCCTACTTTGCTGCAAGTGAAATAACCTGACTTAGAGGGTACGTACACGTTCACTCATCAGCAGCTGTTACAGATGGAAGAAACCTCTCTCTTTGCTACCACCCCTCAGATGAGAATGATAATAACGTAAATCACAGTAAATGATTGCACTGAGATGGAAAGAAGGTGTAGCTGAAGTCAGAGCAAGAGGTAGTTTTAGCTGAAAGAGTGCACAGCTGGCTGGCTTCAACAAACCACTCCAAATCTTTAAGGAGGCAAATGTCTCACAGACCTTAAGGAAAATAGCTAAGGTAAGTCAACCCACCTTATGTTTCCTCTGGGACAGTTACCTTGGCTCAGCTGACTTGCAAAGCACTGTTAGATCACAGTCGGCTCTTGCGTGTGAGCCCTTAGAAAGGTGAAAGGCCCTAAATTCCTACTGAGATCCCTAAAATCCTCTTCCTTAAGGGAATCACAGCTCCATGTACCAGAACTGGGCTCAGGAGGGCACATGTCAGGACCTAAGATGCTATCTAACAGGGGGCACTGAATCCTGAGGGTCCATGGACTATTTCTGAGATATATGTAAACAGTAAGAAGGAAAATGAAATATCTTGCCGGTGAGTGTATCTTACATTCATTCTCTGGGGTTTGCATCGTCTCTAGAATATTAGAAGCCTCTAGTTTAAAAAAATATTGAGGACCATTGGCTGTTCAGTCAACCAAGTTTAAAAGATGGGATGGATGCTGCAGCCAGACTTATTCGGATTAGAAAAATGTCTTAACCCTTCCCCCCCGCAACAAAGTAGCTAATTAACAACCAAAATTTGCCAAGGGCTTTGGCGGGTTCCCACTTCCCCGCACATATGCAGAGGACAAGTCTGGCTTTCAGCCTCAAGCCCAGCTCCCAAGCCAGAGCAGTGGTCTCTTCCCAGGGAGCGGGGCAGACAAGTCCCGGGACCTGTGGGTCATCACAGCCCCTTCCAGGCTATCACTTATCTCCACACTGAACTATCATCCAGCACTGCTGGGGAGGGCATACATGACTGGTTTCCTTACGCTGTGGCTGTCCTTCCAGCTTCTCCTCCAAGGACTCAAGAAGCTCCACGGACTGCTTTCCTTGCAGATCATCTCTGGAGTGCGGTGGGGGCACAGCTGAGCTGTTAGGGTAGGGTCCCCTACCACAAATGAGTAGTCCACAAATGTCCACAAATGAGCAACAGAATGGCCTCACTGATTACGGAGCAAAAGATGGAACGTGAGACCCTTCTCCTGGCTGTGACACTGATTCATGCATAGACCTGGATTAGTGCCTTGTGCTCTCTCTAATTTAGTTTTTCACTGTAGTGAGATAGGGTCAAAACTCACAGAACTGCAAGAGTTTGTCCAATCAAGCGCTTGAGAATGTTACCCTTTTGCATCTATTATACTGACACGTACGGAAAAATAATTAAAAGTCACTGAACAAGCATTTACATACATTGCTGAAACAAGTGTTGGTTCCGCTTGAGTCTTTCTCTTTCCTTCTCTCCTCAGACGTTTTCTCCAAGGACCCCATCACTTTCTCAGACGGGTTTCCCAGGGGCTGGTACGCTGGTTCATAACCACGAGCAGGACCCTGTGGAGACCAAAGAATGTTATTTTTCTGGGACAAAACACCATCCCCAACATACTGCTTTATCAACGCCGCTGTTTATTCAATAGCACGTTCAGAGTTGATTGGTACAGGACTGGAGAGCCAGGTTGCTAAGACCTTTCTTGCACATCAATTGGGAAATGCTATCAAGGATGGACGGGGGCAAGACTGCAAGGGACCTCAATTGGTCAGAGGGCTGGGTGCGGGCTCTGATACCCTTTGCTTCTAGCCCTACAGCTGAAGCCCAGCCTAGACAGGCTATTCTAGTTTATCAGAGAGGGTATTTGTAATTGGTGAGCGTTCCTAGCGGTGCCAGAGATCAGCACCTCAAGAGTCAGAAGCAACCTCTGGAGACAATGGTGAAATTATTCTTTCTGGCTTTAATTAACTGAACTAAATCCTCCCCCAGAGCACCTTCCATTTAATCATCTCCAAGTGCATCTATTTTTGGTTGGACGCTGTGAAACACCCAGGCTTGGATTTATTGGTTGACTCTCAGCAGCTTTAGTTCCTTTCTGTAGTAATCCCGTCTCCAGGTGCCTGGCTGAAGTCCCATTAGTGCAACAGTGTCTCCCCAGTCTTTTATGGCAGATTTAGGAAATCAGAGAGGAGCAATAGTGCTGTGATGAAAACGTAAGTGAGTCTAATATTTTGACATGGAGGCTGGAGAAGGGGGGGGGGGGGCCAAGGTTTTGCCTACTGTCACCTGCAGCCCAAAGGGTGTTCCTTGCTTCAGTGCTCCTTTCTTACCAGGGCTGGGTCCATCCCTGAACTGTTTAACCCCGGGGTTACTTGTGAAATTAAATCAAGGACAAGATGTACAATATGATGTAATTTCTCACCCTATCTGTTCACTCACTTCCATCTCTCTCTTTGCTGAATGCCCTTTTAGAGGCCCCCAATGCCTCCTGGGACTCAGGCGTTACACTCTGGGCAATTCCTTGCTGCCCTGACAAGAGCCTATCTTGGCTGCTGTGCAGCTGGGCTGCATCCAGAGCACCTGGGCTCTCTTTCAGTTCTCTCCAAACAGGGCTCTTTGGGTTCATGGTGACAACCTGCACCACATGGTCACCTGAACTGAGACTGATGACCTGAACTGAGACCTCTGGTGCAAAAACCCCTACTGATGTCTATACAGCTCTGATGTGAGCACTTCATGCCCACTCCAAGCCCCTAGAAAGCTATCATCCAGGTAGCAGCCATCGAGAAAAGCTATGTCTCACCTGAGATCACAGTAGGAGCCTGGAGCAGGGCAGGGATGAGCCTGCCTAACCCTGTCTAAGTGTCTGAGCAACTGGGTCATCATCGAAGCAACCACAGATGATAAAGTCTTCAGCAGCTGGCTCAAACCCCTCCACAGCTCTTGTGCTCTTTTCCTACCAATGACCAGGAAGGGTTTATGGAGAGTCAGTCACTTCTTGGCTGCCATAAAGACAGAATTAGAAAAGCCTCACCTCACAGGAACTATTTCCTGGACTTTCCCTGCAGGACTATCAGGACTATCTAGTATGGGCAACTTAAGATCCATGACTGCTACAGCAGCTATGAGATGTGGCCTGGATATAGCCCTCTGACTTTATTTCCAGAGGTGTGCTGTACCACATGAGAACTTGGTTACAGCACAGAGGTTAAGCCTTAACATCACTAATTAATTACTAATTCCCATAATTACAAACTGTTACCTGCAATTGCAAAGGATGCATATGACAAATTATCTCTAGTAATTAGCCTAGTTACTCAAGCAAATGAGGTCTGTGAGGCTGCACTGTCTGCCAGTCCCTCTCTTGGGCAATCTTAATCCAATCTGACAGGATTGGATCCATTCCTGCCTGGGCAGGAAAGACACACCTAGATATCAGCCTTCAAGTGAGAAGTTGCAGAGTGAGTTCAGCATGGGTCTGGCATATAACCGGCACATGGATGGCTTGAAAACAGCTACAAGCCCGTACTGACTTTTGCTCTTCCAGTAATACAGAAGACAAGGAGGAGCTAGCATTGGGGGGAGAAGAAGGGAAGACAGGTATCAGCAGGAGGCATCACTGGAGCAGGGACTGGGAGCCCACAGGCATCAGATATGCATCAGATGTGCGATCTCTTAACATTATTGCTGCAGTAGACCAGATGGACAGGAGCACAGATCTACATGAATTGGATTTCATCAGCTCTACTGTTTGTTTTTACCTTAATGAGTTGTCCTCCAGACACCAGAACCCCAAACTGAGCCTCCACAGCTAGACTCTGTGCTTCTTCACCCACCTCTGCACTGGCCACAGCATCACGAGACGTATCAAACACATCCTGCAACAACACAGAAAGCAGGTCGGTGTGGCCATGACAAACCTGAGCTCCCACGAATCACACACGTGAAGAGCTGGATCCTTTCAGGGTAGATTATTTCTCCCTACCACCTCCAGCTATCCGGCATGCTCTGTCCCCCTTGGTGCCTCCCCAAAAGCAGCTGCATCTCACCAGGGCTGTATGTCTTAAGGGCAAGGTCAGCTCACCAGGTGTCTGTCTGCAGATGTTAAAACACTTTAGGATACACACAGTTTTCCCATCCCGGGCTTTTTTTTCCAGCACATTCTCAAGAGAATATGTCCTGGATCTAAGTTCAGGTTTCAGATGTCTCAGAGTTCTGGTGTTTTTATGCCGCCCCACTTGTATCACTGCCACCAAAAATTGCAGAGGCATTTTGCAGGGCAACTAACATTTGGCAAGGAGCTGATGTTGCTGCTGCGGACCAAGCAGCCAATACAAAGGCATTGGTGGGTTTTTCCAGCAGAGGGATCAACTGACATATCCTAAATCCTGTGTTCTTGAATCTAGAAGGAGCAAGTAGGCAGCTAGTGCTCAACACTTCCAAGCCTTCCTTCCCAGCTAGTCCTGCATCTCTTGGATAGCTCTTGCTTTTTGAGCTCTGGCTTTTGAGGCCATACTCATGGTCACTTCCCTTGCATTCAGCCACTTTTCTCCCCCAGAACTCACAGCACTCCAGCAACACCCAGTTGGGTCTGGGGTTCTCCAGCTCAGGTGTCATATGGAGGCTGATGGCTTTGGGTGATGCCTTCTAGCTATGTCAGTCAAAAACGGTGGTTGGTTATTCTTTCATTTCTCTAAACTCACTCTAAAGAAAGAGCACCTTGCGAGCCCATCAGCTCAACCTATAGATCCAAGATCTTGGTGTGCGCCATTAGCATCCTCCAGCTCAACACTGGTTATTACAGTGGCTGCAAGTCATTGTAACCTGCTTTTTAGCATAGGTAACCCTGTAGCCTTCAATGATTCATTTACTTCGCTGTCTCCTCCTCCTCTCTTCTTTCCCTTCAGGTCTGCCTGCCCCTTGAGGAAGATGAATACTCACGCTGTGGTCAGGAGCTTGCTTAGGCTCTTGCTTTCTCCTTGAAGCCTTGCTTTTCCTGGAGCTGCCCAGCTGCTGGACCAGCCCTTCCAGTCCATTCTGCAGGAGCGCGTTGGTGAGGTCCTTCAGCAGGGCCAGCTGAAACCAGGGGCGACCATTCAAGGAATGGCCCAGAGCCACCCTCCCACTCATAAGACACGTAAGTGTGAGCACAGCCACCCTGAGATGAAGACCGCTGTGTTTCCAGTGCGACTGGCTGCTGTCTCACAGGTCACCTGGTTAAGTGAGGCACCCTGACAACCAACGGCTGATTTAAATAAAGGCGTCTACAGTTTAGGTGTCCATTAGAGGAAGACACTTTTTATAATGAATAGAAAGCTGATCAATGGTGTTCATATTGTGTTTTTCCCCACCCTGAATAAAAAAACCCTACATTCGGTCAGATCAGTCAGTTCGTAGCCTCTCTTGGCCAGGTCTCCAGGGTTTATAGAAAGGAGTGGAGGGTAACGAGCCTCTGTAAGTGCCTACATGCTAAATACTAAAAGCTGAGACTCATTAGACTCCCTGAGCCTGGTCGCAACCTCAAGGGTGGAGTGAGAGGCCCACCAGCCCAGCATCACTGTATCACATAATGCTCATTCGCTATTATTTGTGTTATACAACAGTTAAACAACAACCCACACTGGCCTTCATGCTGAACACTGCACATATATGCAACGCAGCCAGTCCGTGTCATGACGACTTTGCTCTGGACTCCACAGAGCTATTTAGGCATTGCAATGCCATATTGTTAGATGGATATCTAATAGCATGGGGCACGCAAAGTTCAAGACAGACGTGCTGTGGAGGGCATATCTTCAAATATAAAGGCCCCCAGAGGCAAAAGTCTAGGCCATATAACGCAGCCAGAGCACCCAGAGGCCATGTGGATCTCTTCCTGGTAGCTGTACAGATACAGATAGCACCAAGCTCTGAATCCTGATTCCTAAGTCTCAATTTCACATGGGTCTCAAAGCCACCATCCACCCCATAAAGTATCAGCAGAAAAGCTGTTCAAGAAGGACTTCAATATTTATGGTAAGCTGCAAAAGAAATGTAATAATAATCCTGCCCTCTCGTGAGTGTTAGTGCTGAAACTGGAGGAGCAAACATCTCCAGAACGCCAGAAGGCATAGGTGGAAAAGCTTAATTATAGTCACCTTGTCAAAAGGAAGGCCAAAACATCACCTACCTTGATACCATTTGCTTCAAAAAGCCTCTCCAGATCCTGCATGAAGAACGAAGAGTAAGAACATGAACCTAAGCACGTGCCTTACAGAGCAGAGAAATGTCCCCCTCTGAGTTACGGTCTGACTCCACTGCCCCAGGAGTCCATGGAAATGGTGCTGTTGCCTTGGAAATGGATCATAAATTCAACCACGTGCTGGTCTGGATGTGAGCACCCAGATTAGTTCTTTCCAGAGCAGTCTTCTCGTTGCGATTTTATCAGTATTAACCAGGGGCTTAGGGAGGGATTCATTTCACACCTAAATCTGAGCTAGTCAGCTGTGGTTCCCATGTTAATGCAAGTAAAGGGCATTTCCAGAGAATAATTTAGCCTCCTTCGTTTTGAAAGAGACCCAGGCTGACTAGTTCAGACTTAAATGACCTCTTAGTTATGTAATCAGGGTACCATCTCCCACCCATAATTGGTAAACACCAAATGGCATTTCTCAAAGTAGGGAGCAGGGGAATACTTCTCCTCTTCTCCCCTCCACCCGGGGAAGTTGGCCTGTGGGCTGTGGTACCTAAGTCCTTCCAGGACATCTAAAGTGATACAGAAAACACCAAGGCCTTGGCAGCGTGTGGAAAAGGGCAGGAAGGTGGAGTAGGGAGCAGAGGGGTGATAGGCTCCTGGCTGCCCAGCCTGCCTAGAAAGCAGAACACCTGTCTGAGTTGGGCTCCCAGGTTGCCCAAAACAAGAGCAATAGCACAGAAATATGCCTGATTACCCTGCCTGAGGGCATGTGCAGGCTCATCTCCAGAGGCCTCCACTATGCCATCGATGAGTCCCCTCTGCTGTCCCTACCCCTAGGCAGAAAGGGAGGTGGCTCCAACACTAATATGCTCTACAATTTTCATTTTATTTACCTTCATTTCCACTCCTTTGCCTGGTGGACCAGGATCTCCCTTCAAACAAACAAGAACAGCTCATTAATTAACATCATTAGCCTGATGAACAGCAAGAAGAGGAGCTCTAAAGAGGCGTGATATATAGGACTGGCAGACAGGGTTCATGTGTCTGGCCCTTACTTTGCTACCACCTCGCTCTGTGACCCCAGACAATTTCCCTGTCGGCCAAAGGGGGATTTTAATCCCACCCTATGGAGCGGGCTTCTTCAGTCCTGCGCTGGACACAGCCACTGGCTGCATTTCATAGGGCAGGCCTGGACCAGAGCAACAGACACGAGCATCGTCAAAGTAGCGTTTGGACCAGAGTTTGCACCCTCACCTTGGTCACGGGGATGTGTTTTGCCACTGAGTTAGGAAAGGCAGCCAGGTTGCCAGCCTGGGCTATGTAATTCTGCAGTGAAAGGAGGGAGAGAAACCACAATCCTGATTTACTTGTGCAATACCTGTTGAAAAACAAATTAATCCAGCTACTGGCTTATGATTTGGGATGCATAAATGCACCACAGAGTGATCCATCAGGTCGCATCAGCAACAGCTCTGGAGGCAATCCTCACTGCCACAGAGTGACTGGAAACATGCCGATCACCTCACTGAAGCACTAGGAAAAAGCCTTGACTATTAGGATGCCTGGGTTCACCTTTGAATTCACCCTTCTCTGTTCTTCAGCCATGGACAAAGTGCAAAAAGCAAAGTTTTCTTACTTGGCCAGGGTTTCGGGGTGCTCTGTGTTTTCTAAGTATCCCTGAAAACTAGCAGTCAGTGCTGTGCCTCGGTTTCTCTTATATGTGGAAAGGGTCCTGGGTAGCCCCCAAAAGCCACCAATGCTGTCATCACCATGGCAGCCATATGGAGGTGACAGCAAGATAAGGACAGCCATGGTGTTCCCAGTGCTGGTCCTTTCAGGAGGTGGCCATGGTCCCTGTGGCACTCCCCATTGCCACAAGCAGTCCAGTTCAAATAACTCCACTGCCAGAGGGCTCTTAACTGCACATCCCATGGATGGGCTGGCTGGCTGTTCTCGTACAGCACAGCACAGCTCCCCAGGTGAGCAATCAAAGGCAGCCGTGGTGTATGAAATGCCAGGAAAGCTGCAATTGCTGCTGCTAGGAAGCTGAATTAGCAGCCTGGAGATCCAGCAGCAGGGCAAGGAGCGTCCAATGAGGCAAGAGGTTGAATTCCCTCTCTGATGGGCTTCATTTCACTGAAATCTGGTTTCTGTGCACAGATTCCGGTGGAATGAAGGGCGTCAGAAAGGCACCAATGGCAATAGCCACCAACGCATGATGTTCTCACGCTCCATGCAGCAGAGTGCGAGATGCTCTGGGGTGAATGAGCTGCGTTATGAGGACGTGCTGGCTAACCTGGGTACACCTGAGGCACAGCCTGTTCGCTTCACTTACGTGAGTCCTAGCCTTTGCAGAGGGTGCCGCAGCACACAGTAGCCAGACCCGTCAGTTCAGTGGGGTTGGAGCCCTTGAAACTGCATGGAGAACAAGGTCCTTGGGGTGGGAGATCAGGGCTCCACACACCCATGCTGTGAATGGGACAGCTGTGATGGGAACAACTCTTCCCATCTTCCCCCTGCTCCCAGTAAATCCACATAAACTCTCCTTCAAGGTGAAGAAGAGGCTGGGCTGCTTGGGGTTTGTTCTTTGCTTATTTTCATACCACATTTTCCTTTTAGAAAGTAGTACATTGTCCCCATAGCAGAGCTGGAGACACTCGGTGCTCAGAACAGTACAGATCTCAGCACTGGGCCTTTTGGAAGGTAGATGAGCAAGACTGGATCCTGTGCAGGTCAGGAGATCAACCTGCACCTGCTGGTGCAGCTTTCTGTAGCATTTTCCTCTCTGATAAGTGAAACAGTTGGTCCCAGCTCTAAAGACGTCTAGATTTGTGTGGTATCAGAAGCCTTTTCTCCTTCCATCCCTTTCTGATGTGCTGTTCAGCTTGCAGGACAGGAGCAAAGGAAGGAAACATCCCCAGAGTTTTAGGAACTTATTCTGTCTAGTTCCTGAGCCCCATCTTTTTGCTTAAATGTTGTGTATCTACTTAATTGAGGTGTAGAGCTAGTGTCACCGTGACCACAAGCTTAAGAGTCCAGATCAGAAGCTCTGCTTTGAAAATCCTACCATTGTGGTGTACGAGAAATTTGAGATGGGTGCTCTTCCTCTCTGGCCAGCCAACACAATGGCACCAATACAAAGATGCCTCCATGCATTCAGGCACATACCTTTGGGCCTGGAGGACCTCTTTTCATCTCCCGTAAAATTCTCAGGGGAGATGCTGGTTTCATGATGTATTATGGCGTTTCCCATGCACTTGCCCCAAGTTAACCTCCCTTTCATGTCCACAGGGACCAGCAGCCATTTCTCTTAACTATCTATCTCATTGATTCACATAATTAAGTTAAACTTTCAGCAACTCTGCTCTTCACTTGAAATTTGCTGCTTCTACTTTGGACCTAAAGAAAAGCTTACACGTCTGAGAGCTTTTCTGTTTTTTCTTTCCCCCCACGGCCTCCTCTGGGATAATAACTGGTATTACCTCTCTTCATAACCAGAACTTTGCCTTGATTTCCCTGCCATGACAACTTGGCTGATGAAGCAACACCAGTAAGCTAGTAAATGTGCGGACTGAATGGTGTGAGTGGGACGTGGGGAGGGAACAGCTCCCCACTGATATTGTCTGCAGTTCTTGTTCTCTCGTGGTGTGTCATTTGCTTTGCCTGTGACCCAGGCTGGGCATCCCCTCATAAGTCCTGGGGGGAAAATCAGAAAACCAAGCTCAGGTCTGCCTGCAAAGCACCCACCTAGATATGCAGACCCAGTGTCTGCATCAGCCTTTCCTCCCAGCACAGCCAAGTCTAGCCAGAAATGGATGCCTTGGCTGGCTCATTTCCTCCCCGTCCCCCCTGCAAGGTGCACAAAATAAATGGGCAATTTACAAACTTTGTTAAACTCTGTGTATGGGGGAAGGGCAATTACATACATTTTTCATCTCATTGGGCTATGCTCTTTAACAAAATGATTACTCAAATTATTCCAATGACTCCACTTCTCTTCCTGCACTGGGTTGGCTCTTGTGCGGGATGTGGCACTGTGGTTCACATACAGCTGAGAACGTGATTCTTTGCTTTACTTTGCTCAACAGAGTGTAGTGTGTGTGTGTCGGGGGGGGAGTATGAGGAGAGTGAGGAGCTGCTCTGAGATTGATCATTACTTGTGTGTCTCCCAGACAGGATTTAGGCATATTGGCATGTAGTGACCAGGGGTTGGGTAATATGTTCAGTGATCTTTTTCTCAGTGGTGAAAAAGGATGGACTAAATCCTTCTCTGTTGTCTTCTATCACTGGCATTTCCATCTGTGCTGAATCCATCCTACTGTGATCCATCAGAGTGCTGGTGCTAGATAAAAGCTCCTCCAGACCTACCTACAAGCAGACCTATTGCTATAATAAGGGAGCCATTGTAACAGCGATAGGCCTGTTGCTCTGGACAAATTCACTGGAGTTATTCAAGTATCCAAATCATCTTATTCCCTTTCAGCAAAGCACTCAGGCTCATAGCAAACTGAAGTCTCTGAATGGATCTCACTGATTTCTGAGCTGAAATGTTCCCTCTGGTTTGCCCTGCAAAAACATAAAGCCTTGGAAGGACAACTGAAGTTCACTTTACCCCAGCATCATCAACAGCGATGCGTTGCTTTTGGAGGATCTTTGTTGTTGGAGGTGGGAATGGAAAGAATTTACTTAAGGAACTTGGGAGTTTTGGGCTGCATTTGCAGACTTTGACTTACAGAAGGAATGAAACTTGGGCAGTGGCATAAAGCTTGCTCAAAGCTTCTCACAATAGCTTTAAATCTTTGTGCTCTAAAATATACAACAAATGCAAAATACCCACATATTCAGCTTCAACACAGACCTGCTCCAGCAAGGAGGAAATCTTACCTTGTCGCCTTTCAGGATGATGTTGTTCTCCAGAGAAGATATCTGCAAAAACAGAAGAAATGTAGCTCATAAAGTGAAGGACGACGTCTTTGATATAAGTTCCCACCTCTGTGTGCCTTATAGCCCAGTGAGCCTTTACCCATGGTCACAGAGCCAGCTGCTTTCTCTCAGATTAGCCAGCAATCTGAACTGCTATGTCTGAGCCCAAACCAACATCTTTACTCTCACCGCTCAGAGATTCAAACTGGCTATGGAGTTGGTGTCTGGATCTACTTTTCCAATGAAGTCTGCAACATTTGGTCCACCCTCTCAAGGGGAACTGCGGTCATACACTTCCCAGCTGCTCAGGACATTGCTTGGCTCCCTCTCTACCATGGCGTTAAAGCGTTAGCAGGACGTTTTAGCAGCCAGTCAGGTAAGTGCATGAGTGAGAATAAGCCAAAGAAGACGTGGCTGGGTGATGATGGGGTGAGATGGTTACATATTAGCAGAGAAGGATCTTCACATATCCTAAAGCAAAAATACTCCTCCCAGCTTTGAAGGGAACAGGGAGTGTTTGGTATTCCCATATTCCACTCCCAAATATACCAGTCTCTCCATAGTGCAAAATACATGAGACATGAGTGAGCAGGGGCACCAGTAGACAACAACTGAAAATGGGGCTTGGACAATAAAATGGTGTGGGTTTCAAAGAGCACGTGGCAGGCTGTGTGCCAAAGTGCCTGTCTGCACATTAATGTACTGCAATATCTTCCTGATCTCCTAGATGACCTTGCAAGATCTCTTACAGCCCTACTTTCTATGATCATTGGTTTCTCTCTTAATCTTACTCATCTTGATGTTAGGCCTCTTGTCCAAAGGAAAACTCAGTGCAAAGGCACAGGAAAGGCCTGAGCATGAGTCACCCTGCCTAAGTTCCTTTTGTAGGAGACATCCATCCCTCTGCCATAGCTACAGAAGGAGCCGGGATTACTTGATTAGACAACATTTGGTGGTTAAAGGTATCACACAGGTTTGTATTTATGTTTTACTCCCTTCTGTGTCACAGATTTCTTGCATCACCAATAACAAATCATTTGGGATGAGACTGATTTGACCACACATGTATATCCCCATAGAGGAGCTGTCTGCACTGCTGTGCACCTTTGATAAGGCTAGGAAGGCAACCTATGCCGCAGCGCGCTATGCACACTGTTGCAAGCAGTGAGTTCTGGCAAGGTCTCCTCAGCAGTACCCAGGACTCATGTATCCCTTTTCCAAACAAATAGGTAAGTCAACAAAAGTATTCGCCTTACTCACAATGCTTCCAGGAGTCCCAGGCAGCCCAGGCTTACCCTATGAAGATACAACACCCCCCCAAAAAAGTGAATGGTGAAATTCAGCATTTTCAGCCTCAAAACAGACTCACTGTCATGCAAGGTTATGAATGGGAATATGCAAACCTACAGATTCGCCCTTGTCTCCCTTCTCTCCAGTGATTCCCTAGGAGGTGGAGACAGAGGTAAGATGAGACCAGGTCTTGGCAGGGGAGTGGGTCTCAGCAGTCTCCCCTCTTCTTGCCAACTTAGCATCCTACGGGCTAACAAGCCCTTCTTCAAGCAGCTGAACTAATGAGATCTGGACTTCAGTATCTCTCCTGCGGATGATTTCCTTGATATTTAATAAGGGATGAGATTATTAGCCTCTTTCTCAGTGGGTGGACTCCTTAGGGAGCTACTTTCCCCTGCTCAGCTGCTCATTTCCACAAAGTCTGTAGAAATGCCATGTCTTTGAGACCTCTGTCCCTCTGACAAACACAGCTGACGTTAGCCAGTGTTTTCCGAAGCTATTAGGGGGAGATGAGAGAGACATAGTGTAAGTGAATCATTTCATTTCCTTCTTCACCAGGCTGAGAAGGTGTCAGCATTTCTGTTTCAGCAGAGTGGGGTTGGGGAAGTTTTGCACTCAGAAACCCCCAATGCACTGTCCTGCCATTTAACTTCTGTTTAAATAGTCAAACCGGAACGGAGAAATGCTCCTACTCTTTTCTTTGGAGAAGAGACCCCCCTACCTAACAGAGAGGAAGGGAGCTTTCTGCACCTTGCAGACTGTAAAGTGGAAGATGTATGATGCTTGCTTTGACTGGCATTGCACTATCCCCTGTTCTCCCTCTCTTAACTGCTCCTTTAGTTATCGCCTTACATCCTTTCCAGGTTGTCCTGTATCTCCTTTTATCCCCTGCTCTCCAGGCCGTCCTGGGAGTCCTAGTGGACCCTACAAAAAATGATTCAGAGAAGCAATCAGAAATGGAGCGAGTCCAGTAGCTCAAAAAGGTAAATCAGCAGCAAAACCTCTACCCCCATTCCTGATTTTCCATGAAAGAAAAAAATATTTGTACATAGAAATTTCTAAGTGGGGAACTCCTGCTGGGCTCAGAGCCCTGGGGAAGGAAGTCTTCTGCTTCTGCACAAAACAGTGGGTGGACGGGTAGCAGCAGTGCAGTCTACCCCTGATGCCCCACCACTAGCCAGGGCAGTCCACTTCACACCTCAGGTGGAAGGAGCATCTTCAGAGAAAAGCAATCTTTAGGCCCATCCAGCCTTGTGAATCTCCCGAGAAAGAGGCCAGGAAATCTCCATGAGGGAAGGTGGCATTGCATTGCAGATGCTTGTCCTCATGGCCTGGACTGGTACCAAACTCGTCACGCAGGCTACTCCTCCCCTTTTTAAATCCGCTTCAAAATAAAGGCACAGAAATCGTACTGCCTGAATGATGAGAAAATTAATAACATCTACGGGGAAGAATTATTACCCTGATTCCCCTCTCTCCTGGCTTTCCAGGGATGCCAGCTTCTCCCTAGAAGAGAGGAGTAGAAGCTTTTAAAACCCAGCTTCCATCAGGCAGAACGTTCATTGGTGATGTTAATTCTACTGCACTTGTATCTGGAGGAGCTAGTTTAAAGGGAGAGAACCAAGTTCACCTGTTATTCCAGTTGCTCTGAAGCAGGTACAATCTCCTCTTTGGCACAACTTAATGCTTGGGAAGTCGGTACAAAGGGAGGCTTACAATCACCTGTGATGTCTTAAATTAGAGGTGCTGTTTTAGAGCAGCCCCAGCGCTGAAGTAAATGGGGCAGAAGGTGACAACAGAATATTCATATTTACGAGGGAAATGGGGTTGCGTTATTTCCACCCGAACCCCAGTGTGATTTGTGGCAATCTGTTTTCAGCATCTGCTGCCCTGCTGCAGAGCTTAAAGAACTATCTCCTAAGATGATTAGGGCTTCGCTCTTTCTTGGCCTTTCTTTTTCGGTCTTTTTCTTTGGAAGACGAAACCAAAAGCCAAATTAAGAAATGCCATGGGCAAGATGAAAGTGGTTCTTTATAGTCTTTTCTAACTCAAGGACAAGGCTACAGGGGATAAAATGACCTGGGATCAGACTCAAAACAAGTCGACACACTGCTTTACTAACCTGTGCAATGCCTTTCCCAGGATTTTGAGGGTGCAAAAGGTTTACGTGGGACAATTTTGTAGAAGAAAAATCTACCAAGAGCTATCAAACTCAAAAGACATCACCTCTAACACAGGATGTCCCTGCATGACACATTTCTGAATGCAGGAAAACTATTCCAAAGCAGAACCACTATGTTTGTCTTGCTCTTATATCGTTCCCAGGACTTCCAGGGAAGTTGGTCGCTGTTGAAGGTGAAACACTGGCCCAGATAGACCTGCGGTCTAACTTAGTTCAGACCTTCCCTGTGCTCTTGTAAACAAAGCTCCAGCTGTGAGTGAGGATGGTGTGTTTGCTACCTACATGACTATGGAAAGCAGGGACTCTCCGTTTCATTACCTTGGTCCCAGAGGTGCCTTTCTGCCCTGGTTCTCCCTAGAACACAATCAAAAGTGACAGATTACATTTCCACCTGTGGCCAGTTTTGTTATCTTAATTTCCTGCTCTTGGCCTTATTCTGATGGGTGCCAGCCCCAACCACCGTTGACTCCAAAGTCAGTGGTGCTAGGCAGAAGTGCCTCAGGAGCAGAACATGAGCTGCTTCTCTTTTTAAGCCTTCTCTTAGTGATCTCTTTCCACCTGATGTTCGGGAAAATCTAATAGTAGGTACAGTAGTGGATAAACTCCTGGATGTTCAATAGCAACAACTCAGCCCTTTGAACTGATGACAAGTCTTCATTTGACTGTGGTTAGGAAGCCAGTTATGACCTCCTTGTGAAGGGCTAATAGGGCACCGTTAGACCATAAAGCTAAAAAGAAAGAACAGGCTCTTCAGGGCTGCTGTGACTGCACAACTGTGTTAGTTCTCTGCATGTCAGACAGGTATGACCCAGTGAAAAAAAGGCATGATGCTGACTAATGACTAGAAGCTCTGCATCCAGCCAGTGCGACACAAACACCATGGTGCTACGCATTTGTTCCACCCTAGCCAAGTGGAAGGAGACTCTGCACCAAAACCACTGCCTAAAGCATTACAGTCATCGATGGATCTACCTTCTCGTTTGCTACAACAGAACAAATAGAGCAAATGGGAAGGCTGATCCTTTAATGAACAAGCCATTATGCCTAGTTAGGGACAGTTTGTCAGGACTTGTGTGGCTGACCAGTGTCATTCTGCAACCTGACCCTTCCTCAACCAGGCCTGCGTGAGAGGCATGTTTTTGACCAGTCCCATCTTGACACTTGCTCCTACTTGCGATTGCAAGGGCATAACCTGGGGTCGTTAGCTGGGTACTCAGTGCTGCTGTGGCTCAGCATGGCCATCTTACTGGATTCTTAGTTTTTACTTACATCTTTACCTCTTAGTCCGGTCTCGCCTTGTTTCCCAGGCAATCCTGGTTCGCCTTTCTCTCCCTTCAGACCTATTTCCCCCTAAAAAAAACAAGACAATATTTACTTTCTTCTTCTGCATTTCATAGCCCCTATATTTTAGACTACATGCAGTATGGCCTCAATGAAGGGACAGATTCATGAAGGGACAGAGCATGCCAGGCCATGTGGCTGTGTCATTGATTCCACAGTCCCGGCTGTACCTTGGGCTCAGAGCATCTACCCTGTGTGAGGCAGAGCTGTGCTCAGGGTATCTGCTCAGTGGACTAGGTTGGAAAGCATTTCACTTCATTCAAACATAGCCCATCCTGACCCCATGCAGAGTACTAGTGGCATTGCAGGGCAGACTGCTGCGAAGCTCTCTGCCTCCAGGAAGCTCTGCAGTTCAAGTGAGATGGCCTCTTAGCAGAGACCCTGTGTGCAAGGATCAGGTCTCGAGAGGTCAGTGTTGACACAGGCCCAGTTCCCACTCCATGGATCAGGTCCTATTCTCATGTTAAATCAGACGAGCTCTCACAGATGGGTACCTACACATCTTCTTTGCTTGGGGTTTGTACAAGAGACCTTCCTCATCACTCAGCCACCACACGATAATGTCTCCCAACCCAAAATATCTCTTACTGCCTTCTCCACTCTGTGACTGCGTTAACACTTCCTGCCTTGGATGCATTCCCATTTATCACTTTTCACATCTAATCCCTCCTGGACGGTGAAGTAGGCCCAGACTAAATCTATGGTTCACTGGGCCGCATATTACGGCTGTAACATTTCCCAAATCCATGTGCCCCTTCAGCCAAGTCCGGGGAGCAGCATTGCCTGAGAAAAGCATGCAGTGAGGCAGAGTCTTTGAATGAACACCGAGTTCAGGATGCTTTCCATGTCTCTCTTTTGACTACTTCAGAAACATTTGCTAGGAGGAATCCTAGAAGCCAGAGTTGGCAGAATTCTCTAAGGCATCTTTTCTCACATTGCTTCATTCTCTATACCTCCAAAATGATTCAGGTGTGAACAGGCACCCTCTAGGCTTCTGTGCACCAGCCTGAAAATTCAAGCCTAAATAGTCTCCACAGACTCCTCAGAGTTAAACAAAAGCACAATGCAAAGAGGCAGCTTTAGCCTTTGGTCTAACTGTGTGCAGGATGCTGCACGTCACGCAGAGACTCCAGCAAAGCAGGATTCCTTCAGACCTTTCAGCTTTTAAACTTTCCCCGTATTTTAATATTTTAACACTAGCCCCATGGCAAAGATGCTCTTTACTCTTGTTGGCTTGGGGTGACACAAACATTGGTTGTGACATTGCTTTACACACTGCAGTCACTGCATATACTCACCTTTTGACCAGGTCTGCCAGATAAACCTACGTTTCCCTGCAGAAATACAAACCATTAGTCACACGGCAAGAACAACAGAGGTAGAATCATTTCAGGTGAGGGTTCTCTGTCCTATCTAAAGGGTGTAAACATCAGACGGTGCTGCAAAGCTGCCATCTGGTTGCATGTATTAGAAACCAAAACACTGTAGTATCATGCAGAGAAGGGGAAAACACATGGTGTCCTAAGAAAAGAAGGGCTACTGTAAGCGTACACTGTCTAGATGTATCTGTCTCACCCCCGGCTTCCACGTTTTTTGAAATCACTAATAGTTTGATGACTAAGTTTGACAGAAGAGTGGAGATCTCAAATTCGTCATGCTGTGCAAGATTTTTCTGGATTAAAGTGAAAGACTCTACCAGTATCTGCACAGAAGGGAACACCAAAGCATTAGCTCAACTCTTATTAGACATCAGTGAACTCATATGAGAGCCATCAGAAGCTTGCATCTTCTTAAACGCACAAAGCAAGAAGATAAAGGTCCAGTTCACCTTCCAGCCTCAAAGTCACTGGAAATGGGGCTTCCTTGGCTCTGCTGTTCACAAAATTACCAGTTGAGCTTTCACCTGCTGTGTTTACTCCAGACTCATGAGGCATCCTCTCTGCATTACAGAGGAGTCCCTCCTTAGCCCTCAGACAGATTTTGGCTCTGTCCCTCCCAGTTTGCCTCCTTTGCCCTCCCCTTTCCATATCCAGCCTGTTGCCACACTCACCCTGTCACCTGTGTCTCCCTTCAGCCCAGCACTATAACACCTGGGGATCTTTTTCTCTCTGCACCCCTAAGTATGACGGAGATAAAGCTAGGGCTAACCCCCCATGCTGCTCCCATCCCATTTCCCCACATCCCTCTCGCCTTCTAACCATACTCCTTACCACCTGAAAGATGCCCTGCCAACCCCTTTCCCTCCTGGCAGACCTCTTCTTACAGTCAGTACCACAGTCTGCTCAGTTCAACATCCACATCCACATCCCTCCAGGCAGCCCTTGAGATGGGAGCTCTGATTATATTTGCTCCCATTTGGTTTTCAGCCTCCTCCCATGGGCAGCACCCAAGAGAGCTACTGTCTAGCACCAACCTGGCCATACCTTCATCTAAGAGAGTTTTTCCCACCAAATTTTGCTAGCAGCCTTCAGGAAAATGTAAGAGGCAATTCTGGGTTTAGCATCCAGCATGGAGGATATGAGAGGGACCAGAGGCTAACAGGAAGGGTCTTTGCTCTTTTGGGCCACAATCCAAGGATGTCTCCCTTTGGAGAGTCAATTTTCACTAGAGCACTTTTTGGCAAACCCAGCAAGTGTCTAGGTTTGCCTCATCCTGAGGACCACAGAATGGGAGGACAGATCAGGGGAAGAAACCGAGGGGCCTATATCTCTCCATTAGTGGGAGCTGGCAAAACATCATCTGCCAGCCCTGTGAGGGGAAGTGATTATGTGACCACACAATTGCACTGCAGCAGCTCTGCCAGACTCTTCTGGTTCTTTCTTGCTCTCAGCCTACAAGGACACTTACAGATCTTGGAAGCAATTCTTCCGTTGCCTCGCACAAGCTGTGGTGGCATGACCCTGTTTTGCTTGTTGTCTCACTCTGAAAGTCCGCCATATGCCATGCTCTTGGTTACTGTCTTGCTAGCAATCTCCACCCCACCACTGCTTTGCAGACCCTCAACAGTTAGCTATCTTCCCGTCCACGGCATAACTGGTAGAATTAAGTTGCCAGCGCTGTGTTTTGTACTAAGCAAGAAGCATGGGGAAATAAAGTGTCTTAGCAGAGTAGCTTCAAAGCTCAGACATAAACCTCCTTGTTTAAAGCTAGCAGAAAGGCATGGAGCAGATCTTAGAACACCACGTCAAAGACAGGCAGTCGGGTGAGCTTAGCGCCTCTCACTGACACCCCTTCAAGAAGCCTTTGACTTTTCCATGTTACCACAAGTCTCCATTTGGGTTGCAGCGCATGGATGCTCCTTGACAACATGGCTTAGGAATGAATTCAGTCTACCTCAGTCTGAAGGTACCTCACCAAGTCTACTCCTTGGTGTACACGAACAAAAATAACCTTCTACCCATTAACAATGTGCCGAGAAAAGCAAGTGCTCTACCTTCTCTCCTTTGTCCCCTTGTATCCCTTTGTTTCCTTGTGGCCCCTGGGCCCCTGTTGGTCCAGTCTCTCCCTGTGAATAAAGACATCCACAAAGCTAATAACATCATGCAGAAAGACCAAGTCCTGTTCATGTAGCTCCCTACATCTCTATTTTGCATTTTCAATCCATTCTGAAAACTGTTCCCTTGAGAAATCTCCCCATCCATCCATCCATCCATCCTGAAATTTATACTGAAGCTTTTCTCTCCATCACAGTAGTTATACCCTTTCCAGCTATTCTGCTGTAACTTGCTGTGTGGGCATTTACAGCAGCATAAGCATGATGAAATTCAGGTCCCAGGCCACTATGTAAAGGCAGCCAGTCTAAAAGAAGAGACAAGTTTCTGCTGGCCAATATTAAGCAACCTGGAGAATCAGACCAGTGAAAGAAGGTGGCTCTCACAGGAATGTCTGCTCACCCCAGTGCCGTTCCCAGTGCTCCCCAGTGCAGAACGCTTTGAGACACTGGCAGTGTTGGCAAGTTGCATGAGAGAAGGTGCAAGTCATGAGTGGACCCTTGTCTGGTTAGGAGTGACCTCAGAAAATTACAGAAATAAATGAACTGCAAACATCCGAGCCCAGAGAAAAAGATGCAAGCCATTATTTCTAAGGGATGGGGAAATGTGAAGCACTGAGGGGTATTCCTGAATGCCAGTAGCCAAAAGAGAAGAAATCAAAAAGCTAAGAGGAGTTACTCCTCCAGTAAGTATTTCTTAATAAGGATAAGGGAAATGTTTTATTTCCCTGTAGTCTAGCAATGAGCTATCAAGACTAAAAAATTAAAATATTGCAGGCCAGGTAGGACTACCAGGCCCCTACAAAAGTGAACTTTTGTATCAGTCATGCTATAAAGATGTTCAGTATGAACAATATAGCCAGGGAACAACTCTGTCTCAGAGATATCCCTCATCTAAGACAACTCAATTTCCTCTAGTAAAGTGAGTCAGATATTGCGACGAGCGCCCAGGGAGGTGGGGAAATCTCCGTCCATAGAGATGCTCAGAAGGTGACTGCACAAGGCCCTGAGTAACATGATCCAGCTTTGAAGTTGGCCTGGTTTTGAGCAGAGGGTTGGACCCCCAGAACTCTCTTCCTACCTCAGGTATTGTTTGACTCTAAGTCAATTCCTCACTTGGCTGGAAAGTACCTCCTATGAGAGGGCTGGATCTATGCTTCAGTGATCTCTAGCTTCTAAAACTAGTATCTTGAAATCCCAAATTTCCTCATCGACTGGCGCTAAAAAGAGAATGACAGGAACAAAATCTGCATTTATCTTGTGTTTAGTTAAACATTTGAGAATGGGGAGGGGTAGTGAATGGTTGTATGCAATTTTCCTGTTAATAAAAGCAAAATAAATACCAGCAGGGCAGGATTATTGCTGCTTTTCCAATCTGTCTTCCCTTCAATCTATCATTAGGGTTATATGATCCAGGTGGTGAATTGCTGTCCAGCCCTTACTTCTGCAAAGATTTCATCTAAGTTTCAAGCAGTGCTAATTAACGGACTTACCCTGACACCTTTCTTGCCTGGAGGTCCCAAAACCTGAGGATAAAAAGAAATCACAGAAGTGCTCTCTTATTTGGGAAAATGATCTCCCTTCCAAAGGAAGATTTACATCACCTTGTTCCAAAGCAAGATACTCTCAACCTTGTTATGGAATAGGAAACCTATCACCTGCACGGGATCATAAAATGCCAGAAAAGGCTACAGGAAAAACTGTAAACCCAGCGAAATCTATGAAAGAATCCCACCAACTTCAACAGGTGTTTGCTCCAGGGATGGGACTGGAAGACCACTTGTATGCAGGGGGCAGTTGGCAGATGGCTGCTGTGGCCTTAGCTATCACACACCAAGGACTGAACTTCTGAGAGCAATGAGTCTTAATGAGTGCACTAGCACTTTGCAGAGCAGCCCTGAGCTGGATTTAGGGACTACAGAGCTGTCTCCCCACCTTATGTTTCCAACACAAGCCTGCCACCGTTCCTAGGAAAGAAACCTGGGACGCCCTTGCTCGTTCAAGCAACCTCCAGGACACGCTGATCTTTAGTGGTGGTGGGGTCAGCACTTAATGCAGCCTCCAACTGCTCCCACTGCCCTTGCAGCAGACATGGCGCGCACAGAGGTGGCCACCTCTGAAGTTTCTCTTTAAAGCTGTCCTAGCATTTGGACAGCTAAGAAGAGGGGGCTGTGGGAGCCCTGTTTACCTATGAGAATGGGGCAAATAAGTCTCATCAGCAGTGGCTTTTCAGCAGGGACCAGCGCAGCCCCATTACGAATGAGATCCCAAGCAGGGGGACAGGCCTGGAGCACAGGGGACCACAGGATGACAGTGGGGGGAAGGCTTTAGCCTCGTGTTTCCTGCACAGCAGTGAAGCTCCTTTGAGCATCCAGCGAGAAACTGTGGTGCAGGGCAGGGAATACAAGAAATAGAGCAAGGGAGCAGAAGACATAGCTGGTTGGCGGGTCAGGGTAAAGGTCCCTTAGTTCAGTAGAACACGTCCTTGCAGTTCAGTACTACGCATCTCTCTTGATCCTTGGCCTACCAGCACTGCTGGCTGTAATGCTGTACGGTTATAGCACAAGCTAAGTGTGCCTTGCTGTCCCCTACTCTGTGTATGGGAAGGGTGACAGAAGGGCTGTAATCTGCTCATAATTACCCCCATAGCTGGAGCACCTGGAAATCCTGGGTTCCCCTGCAAGACAAGAGGGAAAAAAGGACAATCTGGGGCAACAAAAAATTTCAGCTCTTCCCTCTTCCCTGTCCGTTCCTTAAATCAGCTGAAAATTCAACTCAGAAGCACAAGAGCAAAACAGATGCCGAGCGGCTGGGGTAAAAGTATTCCTTTGTCTTATTTGACTGAGATCACGTGAAACCAGCTGGGAGAACAAAACGTGCAGATTCTCCTTTTCCAGTGTGATCAATGGGACCTGCAAACTAACTACTTGTTGCTTCACAGTGAAGGAGGAAAGCTCATGTGGCTCCTTGCTGCCTTCTTCTCTGCATAGCCCCACATAAACACACTCAGCTGCGCTTGCAGAAACTGCACACATGCCACAAGCTGGGGAAGTGCAGAGGCAACGAAACCCGATGGTCACGCAGAGGCTCTGATTCTGCCCTGTCAGGACACCTGCACCCACGCTGGTGGCACACATTGTTCTCTTACTGTTTGACTCACTTGGTCTCCCTTCTGCCCTGGAGGTCCTGGGAGCCCCTGTAAGAAAGACATCAAAAGAGAATTTCTAGCAGACTGAAAACAGATCTAGCACTTTTGGTCTGTGCTGTGTCCCTGCTGCAATGAAAGACTCCCAGCCAGAGAGAAGGTGGAAGGAAGCTCTTCAGCCCTATTTTTTGCTGACTGTGAGACAGCCCTGTGGGCCTGCTATGAGTGCTCTTGCGTGAGAGACAGACATCTCCACATCTAAGAGGGAACCTCTAGCATGTCTCTCAAGCACGGTTGCCATCTGCCAGGAGACTAAGCACAGAGTGGCAAGCCCTCATCCCAGGCTAAGCAGTTAAAGATGGGCCTGAGAGGACGTAAAAGCACATTGATGAGAGTGAAGTCCAGCCCCTCTGGCAGTGGTCAACCCTAGGGCTGAGCCTACAAGTTTTCTTGTGCCTTCGGGCAATGGCCGAGTAGTACGTGGCAAAATGCCTTGCTGTTCTCCTACATAGAGCAAGGACTTGGCAACTCCTTTTGCTACTTGCAGGGGAAGGCTGCAGGCCACTTGCAAAATAACTTGCAGTAACGCCTTGAAGTCCCTTCAGCCCACCTCTCCTCGCTCCCCTTGCAAACAACAGAAGATGCGGAGACAGCCACGAGTCGTATGGGAGCTACCAGATCAAGTCAGTGTTTCATCTAGTCCAGTACCCGGACTCTAGCCAGAGCTAGGAGCTGCAGTACACACACCCAGGGTGCTCACAAGGCCTGCGGTACCTTTTAGAGCATATAAATTCAACGTAACAAGGACTGATCCAACACTGCCAAACCCTGGACAGCCTTCCACCATCAATGCTGATGTAGGCAGAGTATCCGAACCAGCCGCTGGGATTGCCTGGCTTAGGGTCCACGCTCAACACTTAGAGTCCATACTCTTTTCCTGGGGAGCATGCTGTGAGGAGAGCCATAAAATCAGCAAACAAAGTACGGCTCAATTAAAAAAAAACAGTGCAGACACAGTTTTGTCTGCTGAAGAGCATTCAAGGTTTGTTTGTCCTGTCACGTTTGCTAGTTGTAGACCGTTCAAGGGACTTACGGTCGATCAAAGGTCTACCCTATGCACAGAAGCTCTTCTGGGAAAAGTAACTTTTTGAACCCTGTGGTTACACTGACTGCAGCTGCTGGGGACTCCGTAACTACGTGCGGTGGGACTCAAACTCCTTCCCTCTCACTCTCCAGCCAGATGCCCTTAATTGCTCTGCCTCCGTGCCTCAAGAGCAGAGCCAGGCCTGGGTTCTCTCCTGCTCTGTGCTCCTGTGCTGGCTGTTCTCACCTTTTCCCCTTTAACACCAACTTGCCCTTTGTTACCCTGGAAAACAGAAGATGATTTAGTTAAGACAAGGTTCCACTGGCAAAGAGATTTGGACCTGAAGGCTTGCATGCCCCACAAACTACAGAAGAATGGTCCCTTCATGGCAGAGAATGAGGGAAGGGGGAAAGCAAATAAACAAACAAACAGATATTGTTATGCATGTATCATATGTAGTATATAATATATAACATATATTAAGTGCAGGCCTCTGCATTTCTACGGGTGCAGGGCTGAGGTGGAAAGTCTCCTTTCACCTGCAGCAATGCTGTGTGTACATGCTAAGATCAGCTTATTCCCCTGCACCGCCTCCCACCCCAAACTCACCAGCAGCTTTCCGGGTATTCTGCTACATGGGAAAACCCTGGTGTTGAACTCTGACTACTCTGTGAATAGTGAGAGCTGGAAGATAGTAACAGTCTGAAGAAAATCCTCCATGCTTGCCCTGTGTCCCTTCTTGACCAGCCCTTGCCATGCTTCCTCTTCTCTGGGTTCACAGCAGGGGTGCCAGATTTGGACTGGAGCTACTTTAGTCCAGTCTCTTGCCTCTGACAGCACTGGACCCCAAAATCATTCTTCCTCACTGACTCCATGCTATTAAACAAGGTCAGGTTAAGCCCCCTCCACACAGCAAAAAAACAAACCAAACCAAAAAAAAACCTTACAAAAGATGAGCGCTTCCAGAAGACAACATAAACCTTAGGATGGGCTGAATCATCTCTCACAGGGCTTGTCTTTCTCCACTGAGAAAGGTAGCCTGACACACTGACACACCTGATTCAGGCATTTAATTAGGTGGGAATGAAGCCCAGATCGTTCAGAGGACCGTCCCTGAAAGGCAGCAGACATGAAATAATCTGCTCCTCGCATCTTCTTCCCTCCTCATCCCTAATAGCATCAGAGCTGGGACCAAGCCCCGGTGCATGAGGTTCCACATTCCTCCTAAAATACATCTACCTGAACTGCTGCAGCTCTGCAGGTTCTCACTGGCCACAAACATGTCATTTATTAATTTATTAAAATACTGCATCTTTCTACCATTCCGGGTCTCTGCAACATCCTACAGCAATGAGTTCCACAGGTCAATGACTGCTGACATGTAAAATTATTTCCTTTCACTGCTTTTGAGTAAGGGGGCAATGTTCCTGCAGCTTATGATGATGGCTAGGGCTAGATGCTTTCCTTGGCACCTGAGTACTAGGCACAGAGGCCCAGGTTCAATACGGCTGAATATCTTTCAGTACCCACCTTTGCTCCTGGTACTCCTGGAGGACCCATTACTCCCTGAAAAACAGAAGGAACAGCAAAAACTCAGACTTTAAGACCCAATGTCTTCCCTCCTCTGTTCCTTCCCTTTTGCAACTACAGGACATGCCCTCCAAGGAAAACCTAGAGAAAGGATATCAGAGCAGACTACGTAGAGATACTGAGACCTCTCAGGGGACTTTTTCTGCAAAATTCACTGAAAAAATTGCCAACCTACCTGTTCTCCTTCTTCTCCCTTCCAGCCAGCAGTG